CCTTGTTGGCTTGCAGCTCCTCAGAAGATGGCGGAAACAGAGTGACTGAGGGGGTGGCCTTGGGCTGACCTGTGTGGACAGAGGAGGGGGTGAGATGGCAGAGGTAGCGTGGGGTGCTGTGGAGCACCTCTCTCTGTCTAAAGTCTCTGGGAGGGTTCGTGGTGTGGTCATCTGGTCCACCCAGGGTCTCTCCCCCCATCTTAATTCCCTTCTTTCCACTAGTGCCCTCTGGAGAGCAGACAACCCTGCACCTTCCTAGGGGCCTTCTCAAGTCACCTTTGCCAGGTGTCCTGGCCCAGTCATTTCCTCTGCAGCCTCGGTTTCCCCGTGTGTACCCAGAGAAGGCTGTGCTCCCTCCTTCCTGGTTTCCGGAGTCTGAGTTTGGAATCTAAGTGTCTCTCCCACAGCACACAAAACCGTCCTGGCAGGGTGTGGGGAGGCCCAAGCCTGGCATGGCCTGGAGCTTCCTGTCCCCTGGGACACCTGGCCCACTCACCTCTCCTGGTGAAGCACGGGCTCCACCCAGACAAACCCTGGGGCTCTGCCGTCGACCCATTCCCACCAGCCCGACCACAGGACCCTTCACATTGGCTGGGTTCTTGGGGCTGTTCCCCCAGACTTTGGGTCACTGCAGCCCCCATGCCCACCCCAGCAGACTCTGATGCCCCTGGACTTTACCGGGAGGCCCTGGAGTTCTCTGCACCCCCGTGTACTCCCTGTTAGTCACCTCCTGAGTCTCAGGTGCCCTTCCTCAAATGAAGGCGGGAGGTCGACCAGTGAACAGAGAGACACTGGGCCCCAGAGGTGACGGGACTCCAGGGACAGACACATCTCTGCCACAAGAGACCCTCTCCTTTCTTGTGACTGTCCTGGGAGAGCTGGGCTCTTGGACCTCACCCAGTCTCATCTCTTCCTTGGTGTCCCCATGTCCTCATGACCCAGTACAAGCCACAGAGCTGCAGCCTAGACCCAGAGTCCTCTCTGTGCCTTCCATTCGTCTCCCCTTGGGGTGACCCCTGTGTCCCCAGGCCCCCGTGTGGCCCTCCCAGGCTGCATGAGCATCCAGCCCTCAGCCTAGACCCGGGGGGTCAGGGGAATGTCTCTAGGCCACTGCAGAGCCCCTCATCAGAACTGGCCTCTGTCCCTCACTCAGACATCTGCCCTGGGAGAGGGGAGGAGCCCTGACCCTGCCCAATCCCAGCACAGGCACCGGGACCAGGCTGTGTCCTGCTGTTGGAACCTGAAGGCGGCTGCTCCCACTGTGGGGGCCCTTCCTGCAGGATACCCTGAGACTAGCCCGCTTCCCCCAGACCCCATGGAGAAAGGAAGGGTTCCATGCTTAAGGCTTGGAGGGCAGAGAGGAAGAAGCCCCAGAGAAAGAAAACAGACTTTTCCAGAGACAGGAGAGGGTCGGACAGGCTGAGGAAAGTTGAGTGCCACGTACCTAAAACGGTGAGCTGGGTCCCGCTGCCAAACACATGCCTCGGTGAATTATGCTTGGATTGAAACCTCCGGGGCCAGCACCTGGGGCCAGTTCAGGAGCCGTGCTGGAGCAGGAACCTGCTGGGGGTGAGGGGGACAGGGCTGCAGTGTGGAGGTTGTGACGTAGGCACAGGGCAGGGGGTGCCCAGTATCCCAGTAGTGTCTCTGTTCCTGTCCCTTCTCTGCAGCAGGTGCCGCCCACAGCCTTGGAGTCACCCCAGCCTCTGTCCCCGTCTCTGAAGCTGTTGGTGCTGATGGCAACCTGGCCCAGTGAGTCCCAGCAACTCCCTGAGTGACACATCCCCACAGGCAGCTGTGCGGTGTGCCTGAGGAGTCCTGAGCTGGCTCAGACCTGCCCAACCTCACTTGGCTCCATTTTAAGGGCCTCTGAAATGCGCCACAAGTGTCCCCAGTCAAGCCAGGCTGTCAGGCTGACTTCCTCCCTGGACCAGGAAGCTGGGTCATTCCCGACTCAAGAGGAGATTCCTCTGCTTTCATATATATCCATGGAGATGCAGCTCAGTCTCACTTTCTTCATGAAGCCTTTTCTGATCATTCATTCCATCTGTCCATCCATCCATCTATGCATCTGTCCACCTATTCATCTGTCTTTGCATCCATCTATCATCTCTCCATTCACCCATCCATCTACCTATCCGCCCATCCATAAATCCATCCTGTCTACCAGGCACTGTTTTGTGTGCTGGGGACCTGGTGTGGTCCCCCATGCTCTCACCCCCATCTCTCCCAGGTCATGGCCAACAAGGCACTCCTCATGGTCATGTCCAAAGTCCTTCTGCTGTACCTGGTGTCTCTGCTGGATGTGACACGGGGCTGGCCCCTCTTTCCAGTGACTCTTTTTCCCTTTGGGGTCTGACTCTCCTTTCCTCTTCCCCTGGCATCTGTTTCTCCATGTCCCATGCCCAGCTGCTGACTCCCTCAGACCCCCACCCAGTCCTCTTTCTTGGCCATCTTCACACTCTGTGACCCCCACTACTGCCCACATGGTGAGGCTGGAGTCTATCCCAGCTCCAAACCCTCTCAGCTCCTCCACTGCCTACTGACCATGCCCTACTACCCAACAGGATTCTCAAACTAATCACATCCAGAGGAGATGACCACCTTCCCCCAGCCCAGCTCACTTTCCATCTCCATCTCATTACAATGACCATGGGCGGTCTCAGCCCCTCAGCCAGAAACCTGGAGTCCCTGGAATCAGTCACCTCGCCTCCCACACTGAAGTGGCTTCCACGTGTACTTAGCTACTGCATCTAAACATTCCTTTCTTTTTTTTTTTCTCCTTTGAGACAGAATCTCGCTCTGTCACCCAGGCTGGCGTGATCTTGGCTCACTACAACTCTTGCCTCCCAGGTTCTAGGCAATTCTGTCTCAGCCTCCAGAGTAGCTGGGATT